GCCATGGGCAGGGCCGGGGTGTAGGCCTGACGCGCGGAGGGGGGGGGGTGGTGGGGGCGGGGAATGTGGTAGGGGTGGCAGAGGGGAGCGTGGGGCCCAAGGCTCTTCTGATGCCCGGCTTTGAGGCGGGCGTTGCAGGCGCAAGGCGTGGCGAGGCGTGGTCCCGTGCTGTAGGCCGGGCAGCTGCGTTGGCGCCGCCGCCAGCGCTGCACCCGGGCCGGTGCCAGCTGGTGCGAGATGTGCTGCTCGCTGCCTCCACAGCGCCGACCCGCGTCCATACAGTTTCCACACCTCGACACAAACAACAAACCATGATGCCCAGATGGCATGCAGGGGTCAGCCCCAAAACCCCCACACCTTCAAAAACTGCTGCTCCAGAATGAGGGCGTACGCGTACGGCACATGACACGTGGCCCGGTGAGACACCGTGCCGGCCAGCAGCTGCAGCCGCGGCGGCAGCGGCACCAGCGTGCGCTGCAGCGAGAACCCCAGCAGCCGCCACGCGTCCGTGTCGCAGCTGTGGGGGCACATCCGCGCGTGCTCCGTCCACCACGCGGCCGCGGAGGGCTTGAGCCGGGCGAAGAGCCGCCACATCGCGCGGCGCAGCGCAAAGGGCGAGCGGGGGTCCTCCTGTAACTCCCCGTCGGCAGCGGCGGCGCCGCCGCTGCTGGCGCCTCCGGTACCGTCGCCGGCGTGCCGCGCCCGGTCCGCTGCGCAGAACGGGCACGTGGCGTCCCGCGGGCGCCCACGCGCCCCGCGCGGGCCGGGCGCGTCCGAGGCGCGTTCCCGCGCGCCGAGCGCCGCCCAGGCGACCTCCGCCTCCCAGCCGGCGGCAGAGCCCGCGGCGTGCCGCCGCGCCCTGGGGGGGGACGGGACCAGGGCAGGCGTGAGGGCGCTGTCAAGCGGGGATCGCGGCGCAGTACCATCAGAAGCAAATGACCCTGGCTATCGCAGCAAGCCGCCGCAGCTGGCAGGCGCGGGCAAGCCAGAGGCGCGCGTCCACTCGGCGCCGCCCTGCGCGCCGCGGCGACCCGCGGCCTCCCGCGGCAGCGGCTTGACTGCCAGCGCACGGGCACTGAGTGTCCACCCCGCCAACAGGGCAATCAACACGCGACCACCTGCCCCCCCGGGAGTGTGCTGAGAAGCACTGCTAACCCCATCAACACCCCAGTCCCCAACAGCGCCTCTTCCGACGAGCAACGCCCCAATTTCGCACACCACCACTGGCGCCCCAGTCATTCAGAGGCCGACTCACAAGCTCAGCAGCTTCTCGTGCCTTGGCCCCTTAACAAGGGGGTCCTTGCCAGACCTCGAGGCCTCAGCCGCAGCGCCCCCCGCCGCCAGCCTGTCCCATGACACGCAGCCGACCCCCTCCCGCCACGCGGCGCTCGCCGCCACGCACGCCGCGGCGTCCGCCGCCCAGCCGCTCACCGCGTGAGCGCGCCTCCAAAGCCCGCCGCCCGGCTGCGCGGCGTCGGCGAGGCGGCCGGCGAACTCAGACGCCAACCGGCGCGCCACCGGGCCGCCCCCGGGCCACGGCGCCGCGCCCGGCCCGCCGGGGCGCCGGCCGCCCGCGGCGACGCGCTCTGCAGCCGCGGCGCGCACCAGGGTCTCCTCCAGGCAGTGCCCGGCCAGGGCCAGCCACATCTCTTGGAGGGCGGCGGCGTCGGCGTCGAGGGGGCCAAACGCCGCGAGGGGGTTGAATTCGGGGTCGGCGACGCCCGCGCTGGGCGGCCCCGCGAGCAGCTCCGCGGCGTCAGCGGCAGCGGCGTTGGTTCCGGCGGCGGCCTGCTGCGGCTGCCGCGCGCCGTCGCAGGCGGCGTTGTCTGCTTCGAAGCGACGCAGCATCGCAGAGAAGCGCAGCAGCTGCGGCCCGCGGCGCGTCGGCGGGGTGGCGGACGTGGGCGGCGCGTAGCCGGGAGGGTGTGCGGGTGCCATGGGCGCGACGGGAAGCAACAGGCATGCGCGTCGCGCTGCTGCGACGCTCGCGAGAGGCGAAGGCGTGCACCACCCCCCCTGCCTCAACCGCTCTTGAGACAGGGAGATCCTGCCCGCTCACCCCGCCGTCCCAACGACTGCAGGCACGCGGACAGCATCGGCAGTCTGAGACAGCGCCCACCTGCGCCCCCGCCACTGCGTTGCCGCCCTCGCAACAAGCCGATGCCAAGCCCCTCGCACCGCCCCAGCTCCCCTCTGCCGGAGAGCCGCCCCATTCATTGCTAGACTGCTGCGCTGCGTCGCCGCTGCTTCCGCCATTAAGAGACGAATGATCACGGACCGGCCAGCTAGATCCCCCAGTGCTCCTCGCGCCAGCCGCGTGCGCCGCGCGGAGCGCATTTGGGCAGCGGGCCGCATCAGCGGCCACTCCAAACGCCGCCCCCGCCTCGTCCACGGCGGCCAGCAGCGCCAGCAGCTGCGCCGGCACGCGCTCCCGCCACGCGCGGCCGCCGCCGCCGCTGCGGGCGCGCTGGCGCAGCAGGAAGCGCAGACACAGGGCGCGCAGCACAGCGGACAGAAGCTCCACTTCCAGGACCACAATGGCGCCCGCCGCCGGCCCCTGCTGAGCCACGCTTGCCTGGGACCGCTGCGCCCCCGCCGTTTGGGCTTCAAGCGGGGCCAGGTCCATCGAGGCTGCCACCGAACGAACGAGCGCGTCCATCTGTTGCACCAAAATGTCGCCGGGGGTGCCGCGCTCGTCGCCTGGCCGCCCTGCGCCGCCGCCGCCGCCGCCGCCGCCGCTGGGTTCGTCATCGCCGCTGCCGCTGCCGCGCCTGCTGCACACTCTGCCGCCGCCGCAGGGCGCGGCGCTGACCCCCGGCTCGGCGACCGCTGCGCTGTGTGCGGCCGACAGCGTGGGGGGGAGCGCCGCCTGCAATTCTGTGGGCGTCAGCAGAGCGCTGCAGCGCAGCCCGCAAACCGCCGCGCACACTAACGCTGCCCGCACCCGCGCCGCATCCTCGCTCTCTGCCGCCGCCGCAAGCCGGTGCGCCCACAGCCACTGCGGCCCCTCGTCCTGCGCCTCGGGCGGCACGCGGGGCGGCGCGGCCCGAGCCTGCGCCGGCGGCGCCTCGGGGAGCCCGCGCGCGCCCGATGCCAGCCGCGTCAGCCACTCCTCGACCAACAGGTGCGGCGGCGGCAGCAGCAGCGCGGCCGAAAAGTGCAGCAAGCGGTCCATCCGGGTGGAATAGCGGCCGACGGAGGGGTCGCCGTCCCCTGTGCTGACAGCGCTGTCAGCCGCTTCCGCCTCTTCCAGCAGCACCTGCGCCGTGCGGCCCTCAGCCTCGTGGGCGGCCAGCTCCCCCAGGGCGTCAACCGCGGCGCTCAGCAAGGCCGCGTGCTCAGGAGTGGACAGGTCACCGAGAGGCTCGCTACGGGCGCGGCGGCGGGGAGTTGTTTGTGTGAGCACATGCGTGCATGCGTCCGTGCGTATGTGCGTGCGCGTGCGTGCGCGCGTGTGTGTGTGTGTGTGTGCCTTGCACGTGTGTGTGTGTGTGTGTGTGTGTGTGTGTGTGTGTGTGTGTGTGCGCGCATGTGTGTGAGCACGATAACGCATGTGCATCTGTAGGGGTGCGCATGAGTGTCAGGTAGCAGAATGCATGCAGATGCCTGTATGCCGTACACGCGCATGCATGAGCAAGCAAGGCGGCCACCTGCAGGGGCGCACAGTACGCCGGCCCGCTGGTCAGCGCGCCCGCACCACATCAAAGCCCTGCGTCAAACCAGGCTCACCCCGGCACCATGATCCCCACCGCCAGCTCAGCCAGCAGCACCACCCGAAGCTGGGGCGACAGCGCGTTCAGTACCAAGTCGCCATTGAGGGAGTGGTCGCCGCCGCTGCGAAGCGGGGCCGGGCGGGGGGCCTGCCGCTGCGGGCCCTTGGCTGGGGCCGCCGCTCGTTCCTCCGCTGCCTGCACGGCCCACATGTTGATGAGGCGGGGCGCGGCGAGGGCAACCAGCTGCAGGGGCAGCGCCCGGCAGCACATGCGAGGGCACAACGGACACGAGAGTAATTGAGAGGGTCTGGTGGGGGCCGAGACCCGCGCATGCCCGGGCATGCCAACGTGTCGCAGGCATGCGGGCGCGCAGGGATGCATGAAAGGGGCTCTGACCAGAGGCCGCTTTCTCAACACCGGTCGCTGGTGCCCCAAGACCCCGAAGCACAGAACCCTGACAGGCCCTCTAACCTGCCGCAGCTCCGGCAGCGCAAATCGCAGCGCCTCGAAGCCCAGCGCCCCTGCCGTCCTCCACGCCGTCTCCCTCAGCTCTTCGCGCGCGCACAGCGCGCGGGGGTCGCTCGGGCGCCCGGCCAGCTTGCGCAACGGCACGTGCGTCATCATGGCACGGTCCTCGGAATATAGCAGGCCCCAGGCCACGTCGTACTCAAACGCAGTTCCAGGGTCGATGAACGGCTGTCGTGGCCTGGGTTGCTGTGGGCCCTCGGTGCCTGCCGCGGCGGCGGAGATCGCCTCGGCCAGCCGGGGGTCGGCCGCCCATGGCGGCGGCAGGCCGGCAACCCTGACCGCCGCCAAGCGTTTCAAGAACGTGCCCTCTGCGTCGTCTGGGCTGACGCCTTTGATCAGCTGCAAAGCGCGCGCTATTGCGGCGGTCAGCGGGTCGGCCCTGTAAGCAGCCACGTCCGCGTCCTCTCGCCGCTTTGCCTCCGCGGCCGCACGGGCCGCTGGTGCGCGCACATGCATGGCGTTTTGACTGGGGGTTTGGGGGGAGCCCTGGCCCGGGTTCAGGCCTCGCCAGCCGGCGACAGCAGAGCGCTTTCAGCAAGCGCCGCGCCTGGGATGTGCGTATCAGAGCGGCGCGACTGCACGTGGATTGCCTACGTGAGAGACATGCGACTGTGCGTATTCCATAATATTGTGGATGGAAGCCTACTGGCAATGGGTCGTCAATTGTCAGAATCTGAGATCACAACCTATGAATAGTGTCGCTGTGTGTTTGTACTGCCATGCAAGCGCAAATTGTTGTTACCATTGTCATATACAGTCATACAGACACCCCGAGGAACGCTTGTAACCTCGCGCCAGGTCATCGCATCATAGGCTGTGTTGACGGAGGAGCAATGGCGCAAGCATGAAAGCACTGCTGCTGCTTAGCAGCAGCCACCGGCCCCAGCATGCGCGTGCAAAAGCTGGCATTTTTCGACGCTTAAATCAAGGTAGCTGCAACAATGCAGTACACACGCAAATGGTGCTAGCTAGCACCAACGGCTGCTCTGGCACTTCCAGGACTGCTTGACCTTGTGCTTGCCATGCATGCCACACAGCTCAGTGTCGCATCTCCATGTACACACACTTCTCCACGTGTACAATCTGACGCACCTGATCAAGTTACTGTTACACAAAAACCTCACCCATGATCAACTGTGGTGCAAAGCATGTCAGGTGTTACCTCCTTGATGCGGGTGCGATCCCAACACACATTTGGTTGTCACGGCGTGTTTGCGCTCGTGGCGGTGAACGCTTTGGGGTGCGCAATCCTACAGGGACGTGCATGGCGTTGGACTGCGCATACATCACAACAAATGTCAGACATGCACGTATGGCTGGCAGGTAACTCTGATGTGTTACAGAATCAAAGGGGCCAACTGCTGCCGGCGTGCAGCAGCCAGCCACGCTCAGACGCGACGGATCACCAAGAAGCATCCCCGGCGAAAGTCGAGTGCGTCCATCTTGATACGCTGCGCCAGGCGCCGCGGCGCTCTCCACGCCGTCTGTGGCGTCGTGGGCCCTGAGCCGCTGTCAGGCAGAGCTGATCACCTTTGCTAGTGTGACGCGGTATGCCTTGGGCCACTCGTATGGCGCGGGCAGGCTCACGACCGTAAAGCCCGCACCCAGGCCGTCAGGGTCAAGGGCGTCCGCAGTGTCCGGCCGCGGCGGCTCGCCCCACCCTTGCGGCGGGCCCACGCCAATCGGCGCGTTGGGCCATGCGCCGAGCTCGGACGCTGCATCTGCGAACGGCCCTCGGCCGAGGATGCAAGGTTGTGTCTTGACCTCTTCCTGCTTGTCACGCGCGTCCAATTGCTGCTCCACATGCTGCTGCTGCTGCTGCTGCTGCTGCTGCTGCTGCTGCAGCTGCTGCTGCTCCTGCTGCTGCTGCTGCTGCTGCTGCTGCTGCTGCTGCAGTTGCTGTTGTACCACCTGCCGCCGCAGCAAGGTCGGCTCCCCGGTGCTTGCCCGAACGTGCTCATCCACCAGCAGCGGTGACCTCGCAAGCAGCCGCACTGCTAGTCTGCCGCCGCTGCTGACGCGCATACTGGCGTGCAGGCAGGTGTCCAGGAGCTTGTCGAAGCGAAATTGAGCGGCTTGCACGGAGCGCCCAAGCGTTCCGCAGACAGTTGCATGCCCCATCAACCCAGTGTCGATATCGCGCAGCTCTGCGGCGGCCAGGCAAGCGGGACTGCAGAACTGGGCTACGCCGCAGCCTGGGCACATTTGGAGTGGGACGTCCGGTGGGGCAGGCTGTCCGCACTTGTCGCAGTTGCGCGCGTGCGGGGCGCCGGCTTCCACGCGCTCCGCCCAGAACTGAGGGTGTATGCAGTTCCAAAAGTACCAGCCCTGGCGCTGCAGCTGCTGGAAGTCGCGCGGCAGGAAGGCCTGGCGCACCGCAAACTCCGCTGCAGCCAGCCTGGGGCGGGGCGGGGCAAGGGGTGCGGGATCCTGGTGAGCCTGGCTGATGGGGCCCGCCTGGCAGGTTGGCGTGTCAGCCAGATTGTGTGGCGGGGCCGCGCTTGCGTGCCTGATGACAATGACTAAAGCAGGTGTGCACAGGACACGACACCACATGCAGGAAACTGTGCAGATGCATGCAACATGAGCACTTGTGCAAAGCGAACAGCCAGCAGTGCTGCTGGAGACGTTAGCAAATTCAGGCAGGGCCTCGAATGATGCAGCATGAGGGCGCCGCACACTTGCTTGGTCTCGGCCCGCCTACCTGGCATCAGGGTCGGAGTACACAACCGCCAACCAGCCGGCCATGCTCCGTGAATACCGTGCGCCGTCATGCTTATAAGATATGCCGAACTCGCTAAATTTTGCCGAGTCTAGCGCCGCAGCCCTCCGCGCAAGCGACGCCATGAGACCGCCGCCCGTGCTGCCGTTGCCGCCGGGCCCGTCGCGGCCGCCCTCGTCCCCCAGCACGCCCAGCATGTGCAGGTGGAACCACACGGGCCACATGGGCATGCCGCCCTCCCCCTCGTCGCCGTCGCCCTTGAACCAGCAGTCGCCGCTGTAGGTGCTGGGCGGCGGCCGGTGCGCCCACCCCCCAGGGCCCAGGCTCTGCAGCAGCGCCGCGGACACCGCCTGCTGCGCCAGCGCGGGCCAGAGGGGCACGGCGTCGGCGGGCGGGTCGAGGGACTCGGCCAGCGGCCCCAGCGCCTCGAGAACGCGCGCGGCGCGCACCACCATGGCGGGAGAGTACGCCTGCCAAAGGGGTGTGATTGAGGGGGGGTGCAGGGGTCAGGGGCTGACGCGATCGGGAGAGCAGGCTCAAGGAGAGCGGCAGGTGCTTGTCAGGAGAAGACGAGCCAACTGAGGCGGGCAGTTGATCTGCCACGACGTCGCGCAACCCCAACCATTGGTCCGCAAACACTCGACACCGCCTCGATCAGTCACAGGGCCAATCCACCCAGCTCTGACGCCCCACGCGACGCGGGCGGCGCCCCTCAGCCGCACCGCATCGAAGGTGTTGTTGAGCTGCTTCGCGTACGTTGCCGCCGCGGCCGCCGCGACTGCAAGCTCCAGGGCGGTGCGCTCCTGCTGCAGCCCCGCCATGGCCGCCACCCGTGGGTCCCTGAACGGCAGGCTGGTCCCTACCGCCGAGAAGACCGCCGCCCACAGCTCCCTGTCGCTGCTGTGGGGGCACATGCCCGCCTGCGACGCCAGCAGGTCGCGCGCACGTGGCGCGAGGCGGCCCAGGAGGCCCCACCACAGGCGGCGCCACATGAAGGGGGAGGAAGGGTCCACTGGCCAGCTGCCATACGCGCTGGCAAACCTGGACGTGCCGCCGCCGCCGCCGCTGCTGCTGTTGCTGCCGCCGCCAAACTGACGTTCCAGATCCTGAAGGAGGGACACATGCTTTTGCTGGCGTCTCTCCCACGCCCGGTTGGCGTGCGCCTCCTCCTCACACCAGGGGCAGCCCCGCGCGCACCCCGCGACGCCGGCTTCCTGCGAACGCGCGGCGGCGCCCGGGCCACCCCGCTCGGCGCCTGCCGCGGCCGCTTCCAATGGCAGTCGCGGGTCGGGCGCGGCGAGGACGGCGCTGACCTGCGGCTGCAGGCGCGCCATGCGCTCCCAGTCGCCGCGCTGCGCTAGCAGCTGGTCCAGCCGCCGCTTCGTCGGCAGGGCCTCGGCGCGGACGTGCCTGGCGCCGGGCGCGGGGTCGCGCTTGCGCGAGGCGCGCTCCCGGCGGAACGCGAGCGCGGCGTGTACGGTCTGCGCTTTGCCGTACGTGCGCCGCCAGTCCACGAGTCCACGGCACGCGAGCGGCAAGTGTTGGCTCAGCTCATGCGCCGGGCAGGGCGTGCCCTTGCCGCCTGCGGCGCTGCGGGCGTCGTGCGTGCCGCCGTTGCAGTTGCCGCCGCCGCCGGCGCAATCGTCCTCTTCGCCCTCGCTGCCGCCTTGGCTGCCATTGCCGCGTCTTCTGTCGCTTTTGCTTCCGATGCCATTGCCGCCATTGGCGCTGCCAGCGTCTTCGTCGCTGCTGCTGCCGCCATCACCCCCGCCGTCAGCCCCGCCCCCGCCGTCGGCGTCGGCGTCGCCGCCCTTGCCCGCTTTAGTTGCGATATGCAGGGCCGCCTCTGACTGCAGGAGCGCCTCTCTATTGACCGCCAGCGCACGCAGCGCTTCCTCGACAGCAGCGTCAGGCGCCTCCTCGCCTTCACCGCTGCCCTTCGCCCCGCCGTCCGAGCCGGCGCCCCTGCCAGCAGCCAGGACGCGGCGGGCGCTGTGGGCAAACACGCGCCGCTGCAGCTCGTGGATCCTCTCTATGTGTTTGGGCTCTGTCCGCGGTCCTAACCGGTCAAAGTAAGGGTCAGGGACGACCTCGTCAGGGCCGCGCCCCAGGGCCTGCTGCGCAACCGCGGCGGCGCCCAGCGCCGAGGGCTCGTGGGATGCGACAGGGGCGCAGGGCGCGTCGCCGCCCCCCGGCGCGCCGTCGGCGGCGAGGGCGGCGGCGGCGGCGTTGACGGCGCGGAAGCGCCGTAGCATGGAGGACAGGTGGAGGACCTGTGGTGACGAGGTTGGGGAGCCGAAAGCGCCCGGTGAGCTGGGGTTACAAGGCTGCAGCTGGGGGATCCGTGGAGTGGAATGCTGTTGATGTGTTGCTGCATCGGCTGCTGCTCATGCCGCACCGTGGCGGGCGGACGAGGCCTGTGATATGGATGGCAATGTGAACCACAACCCAGCCCAGATGAACATGAAGCAGAGGCAGAAGAGCAACCTGGCGGCCATGACACCCACCTTCGCATCGACCAGGGCGGAGGCGCGCCGCAGCTCGGTCACCGCCTCTCCTGCTGCCAAGCCTCCTGGGCTGGCCGCCGCCCCACCTGGACTGCCCTGCTGCGACTCCCCAGCGCTGCCCTGCACGCCGCACCCCATCTGTGACCAAGCCTCGGCGAGCGGCCCTGCGTCAGGCGAGCATGCCTGTTCATCTCGCTGTGCATCCGCGCTTGCCTGGGCTGCTGGCGCCCTCGCCGCCGACCGCACCAGGCACACCACGCAGGCATCCAGGCAGTCGAGCGCGTGCAGCAGCGCGGCCGCCTGCGCGGGCGCCAGCTCAGCAGCGCCGGGCAAGTCCTGCGCGCGCAGCAGGTGAGCGAGTACTGCGGCCTGCGCCCGCGCTAGCACCAGCACCGACGAAATCGCGCACTGCACGCCAGCGCCGCCGGTGCTGGCATCCATGTCGCCCCCTGCTGCCTGGCGCCACGCTGCTGCCAGCATCCGTGCCTCCCGTTCCGCCGCCGCAACAAAATCAGGCGCCGCCGCCGCCTCCGCAATCGCTAGGTCGCAGCCGCCGCTGCTCCACACGCTCTTGACCAGCATGCCCGCCAGGTGCCACCGCGCGCCCTCCTCCTCGGCCGATCCGAGGACCGCGTCCGTCAGATCGCGAAGCACCAGCTGAGGTGGCGGCGCGAGCAGCAGCTTGGCCACGCGGCGCAGGCCTGGTAAGTCCCTGAACCCCTCGCGGCCGGACGCCTTCATTCGCTGCCGCGAGGTGGAGCCGGCGGCCTCAGCCAGGGCGTTGGTGGCGGCGATGGACAGCAGCAAATGCAGGGTCGCCGCATGCTCTGGGGAGTCGGGCGGGGGCGGCTGCCTGGGGATAGGAGGGGGGGGGGCGCCAGGAGGGATGCGGCAGTGTGGAGGGGCTTACAGCATGCGGAGGTATGGGGCGTATGGCACGGGGAGGGGTGGGCGTGTGGGGACCGCCGGCGCCGGCCGCGAGATGCAGCGTCACAAGCTGATGGCTGCCACGACACCACAGGACAGCGTCCACGCCCACACGCATGCAAATGTCCGCCCCACTGCCGGGTTCTCAGGCGGTGCGCGCGCACCGCACCCTGGGCAAAGCAGGCCGGTCGCCACGTCGGCCAGGAGGCACGTCAGCAGCTGCGGCGACAGGCGTTCAGCCAGATGGGGGACCATGATCTCGGAGGCGCGCCGCTTGCCCCAGCCTTTGAGTTTGAGGTCTGTAAACTCGTTGGTGTAGCGGTCCAGCGCCGGCTGCAGCGTGAACGCCAGCAGCTGCTGCAGCTCCGGCGCCGCAGCGCCGCCGCCCGGCCGCAGCGCGGCAAAGCCATGCGGGCCCGCGGCGAGGCGGCGCAGCAAGCGGGTCGTCTCGAGCGCGTGGCGGATGGCCATGCGGCGCCGCGTGCCCTCGTCGGGGTCTTCGGGGCTGTAGGGGTAGACGCGGCGCTCCGCCTCATCCAAGACAGACAGGCAGCTGCCGCCATGCTGCGACGCCACCCGCTCGCCGCCCATGCGGCAGCCTTCCAGGTACCTCCGCCACTGCAAATCAAAGGGGTCCTCGGGCATAATGCGCAGCAGGCTGAGGTGGCCAAAGTAGAGGCGCCGCATCAGCGCGTCCTCCGACGCCATGGTTGGCTGCCGCCACCGCCACCGCTTCCAATGCTGCCACCACCGCTGCTGCGCTGTTGCGAGGCCTGAAAATGGATTTGCCAATAGCTTTACAGGTTCACCGCTTAGGCGCTAAGGATCCATAGCACCTCGGCTGGTGTCCTCGCTGCCACGTGCATGCTCGTGTTGAAAGCTCAGCCGTTCCGCCGCCGTCACTGCAGTGATGTGGGGCAGGCCACCTGCGTGGGCTGCCGTTGACAGCTAAAGGGTAACCACGCGTGTTTGTGTGTACACTGCATACACACGTACGTCAGAACGGGACAGTGATCGTGGATCTGCAGCGGTCAGTGCGAAATGCAACTCAAGCGTGGAACTGCGTGTATGCAGGTGAGATGAACAAATGAAGACACGGAGAATAATTGCTCTTGACGCAAATGTGGCCAGCCAACCAGTCTCACCGCTGCGTAGCTGCGCCCAGGAGCACCCACTGAGTGACGGCACCATTTTGCGGCGGCGACCGCATCAAAGCAGCAATGCTGAAGCTTAGAAACAACAGCAACAGATTCCAACAAGCGAGCAAAAACACAAAACCAAGTTATGGCTGGCACCATCTTTACTGGATGTCATCACGTGGCCAGGTCGGTGGACGGGCAGGTCGGCAAAGCGGATCATATTGTGTTGCTTCAAGCCGTCCGATACCTGCTACGTGTTTTGACCACTGGCAGGAGGGAATTTTGCGAATGTCGCTGGATCATACATGCATGTGGCTTGCAACGGCGGTTGGTGAACCCCCCGGCGAACCCGCGACGGCGACCTCAGTGTGACCAACCCACTCCTGGGACGCCGTTCACTGATGATTGGGTGTGTCATTGCAACTGCAACTGCGGCGCCGTCTGCAGCACCGATGCCCCAACGTGCATCCAACTGGCAACAGCCTGGACAGCGAAGTTCACAGGGTGTGGGGATGAGTAGGGGCAACCTATCTTGACAGGCAGAAAACCGTCCAATTGAAACATGTTCGAGAAACGCAGCCATGAAGTGAGCCTGTGAGCACCCGCAGAACACCATCAAAATATCGTCAGGCTTGCTGATGATTGTGTGCAATAGACAACAGCGACGTTCGTTCATTTGCTTTCTTGGCACGTGGTACTGCTGGCCGCCGTGCCAGGCAGCAGTGCGACAGCTCCCTGCATGGGTTGGTGCTGCGTCCGCAGTCGAAGCCGTCAGGATGGACTCCACCAAATACTAAATGGCAAGTGTGACGCCACCTGTTGACTGAAGCGCATCCAAGCACCCTTCTTGCTGTGTAACAACGTTCAACATGTTGTGCTCACCAACACTGTGTGGATCACCTTGAGATCTGGGGCACAGAACTCAAGCGAAAATTGCAATTGAGCACATGCCCCTAAGGACTCTCACGCACGTCACCCAGGCTGTTGTCACTACCACCGCCGTGAGTGACTGCCCCTGCTTAACATGCCAGGCCGTGTATGCTCCCTGTGTTTTCTGCATTCACTCATAGAAGCTTTGAAGTCATACAAAGCTCCAAGTCGTTGCAAGCTGATAACCCAATCGTGGCACAAGCGAGCAATCCTACTTTCCGGAAGAGATGGCTTCCTGCGTGATCGAAGACATCACAGAACAAAAAGGTTCCGGGCAAACGGAGAAGCCTGAGCCTGCCGCTGCAGAGTCCCCATCAGTGGAGGACGCTGCTGCAGGCGCATCCTTTGCCATGTCTGCGTCGCCCTCCGAGGCCGCAGCGGCGCCTGGCGCGGCGCCCGACACGCCGCCGATGACACCACCGGAGGACTGCGAGAGCATCACGCCAGACGGCGGTGTTTTGAAGAAGGTGTTAGCTGCAGGGTCGGGCGAGAAGCCCAGCCTGCACGCGAGGTGTCTGGGTAAGCTGCCCTTGGATCAGAGCCGCGCGCGTCGGAGGGTTCCGCGCCCTCGCTTGCTGCTGAGCAGATGCAGCGTGTTGCTTGTGCTGTCCCATTGCGGCGCAGAAGCGGCGGGAGCGAGGGGTGAATCGCGTGTGAGGCGTCTCAGCAGCAGCTGCGTGGGGCATCTGTTAGCCTGGCTCCTTGGCTGGAATGCCGGCTTGTATGCGCCCCTGCAAACGGGCATGGTCAAACCCTTGCGCGCTTCCCCTCTCGTACTTGCACGACACACTTCACCAGTCCATTACGTTGGTTACCTTGCCGCCAGCGGTGACGTGTTCATGGACACACGGAGCGATGGCAACAGATCGGAGCCCATCATACTGGTCGCGGGGCGCGGTGGGCACAATGACTTCACTGGGGCCTTGCGCGGCAGAGGGCGCCATCCCAACCAACCTAGTAGTTTTAGAGGTCGCGGCGGCCTGCCCGTGTAGGCGCTAGTAGGGTCCACCCAAGACCCCGAAACACACAATGCCACACTCAGAAACGTGCGACGTGTGCCTGCTGCAGACTCGAGCCTCCGGGAAGTCGGCCTGCAGCTGGCGCTGGCTGAGATGCGCAGGGGCGAGCGCGCCGCCGTGTACATCACCGACCCTGAGTACGGCTACGGCAAGCAGGCGAGATCTGGAGTCGTGCAGCACGCTTGCTTGTAATTGTGGCGGCACATGCCTGTTGCCTGCAACACGAATGAATGCAACTCTGCGCTTGTTCCCAAGAGCACCAAGCCTCACCTCAAGCGTGTGTGGAACCTCCTGGCCGCGCCACCCGTGCAGGGCAGCTTCAGCTTCCCCAACGTGCCGCCGGACAGCTCCCTGGTGTATGAGGTGGAGCTGCTGGAGTGGGAGCCGCCAGAGGAGGTGTGGTTCGATCACTCTCGTCAGCGGTGTTGCGCATGGACGCACGCTCTCATATTCGCCCTGCATCGTTGTGGCTGCACCAGCACAGCAGCGCCTGCGCACCCGTGCTACATTGCTTTGGCAGCCCTGCTTCACCTGCCCTGGCCAACCCGCTTGTGCGCCCAACGGCTCAACAACCTCATTCGATGCACCACCATGCATCCCCTCCGGCGGTTTCCTTGACCACCGAGCCAGTTTGACCCATGCTTCGGTGGCCTCCAACCCACCCGCCCGTGCCGCCAACCCTGCCGCGCATCCCCACGGTGACGCGTCCAGGCGCAGGACAGGCGCGGCATGCTGTTTGAGGAGCGGCTGGAGGCGGCGGAGCGGCGGCGGCTGGAGGGCAACGCGCTTTTCGCGGAGGGCAAGATGGTGGAGGCCCTGGGGAAGTACGCGATGGTGGGTGGGCCGTTGGCGGGCGCAAGCGCAGGGGCCTCTGCGCATCATGGCCGCAGGGGAGCCGCGGAGATTTCAATGGCCACAACTCCCATGCAATTATGGGCGAGCCAGCCTGCCCCGCATTTTTTTGGGACTGAGGGATCCCCATGGGATTTGGAGGCCGCCTGGCGACCGCCACTCGGAGACATGCACCCTGCAGGACGTCTGGTGCAGTTCCGGGGCACACGCTGTCGAAATCATCCAGCAGTTCTCTGTCTCCCATGCCACCCTCACACACCAGCAGCTCACCCACACCGAAGCATTCTCCGATCCACCCTTCCGATCCCCCAAGACCAGGACATGCACCTGTCCCCACCCAACTGCTCATCGCACCCTGCCCCCTTCCCTGGAGCCCTGTGGCTTATCGTCATTTTATACCCTAATCCCTTATTTCTCTTGGCAGGCCCTGTCCTACACAGACGAGGACTTCATGCTGCAGCTGGAGGGGCCGCACCTCGACAAGGCCGAGGCGGTCACATTTCCCGTGCACCTCAACATGGCCGCGGCGCAGCTGAAGCTCGGTGACTACGCGACAGCGGTCCACAACTGCACGCAGGTGCGGCATGCATGGGAGCGGTGCACGGGCGGCCAATGCATGGCGGGGGGAGCCGTGCGAATCAGGGGGACTCGGAGCACGCATGGACCGGGGATGCATGCATGGCGAGCCACCAGTCCATGCGTTGCAAGCCATGCGTGAAGAGCCATGCATGGTGACTCATCTGAGCTGCTGCGCACTGCCCCTGCTGCCACGCGTAGCAAGCCGTGCACGGCAGCGTGGGCGGGGCGCGACGTATGTGCGCGAGCTGCGCTGGCAGCGGTTGTGCGGGCGCCGCCATGAGCAGAAAAGTGGCGGACTGAGCCATAATGCGTGCAGAACGCATGCCGCGCCCCTGCCCTTGAGTGCCACGGAATCCTTCTGCCCTCGCTGCAAACGTGCACCCAGGTGCTGCTCCGCGACACAGACAACGCGAAGGCGCTGTTTCGGCGCGGGCGGGCGCGCGCGGCCTTGGGCCAGACGGAGGATGCCATCGTCGACCTTGAGAGGGCCTGCAAGCTGTGGGTGGCATGGGGCAGCTTTTGGTGGCTCGGGGCAGGCGATGCTGCTGCTGTACCTGCTACTAGAGCCGCCACCACACCCCCCATTCAGCCTGACACCGCGGTCGAGGCCGCTCCCGCTGCTGAATGCCGAGCGTGCTATCTCATGGCTCCCATATTGTGCTCAGTCGCGTCCGTGAGTAGCGGGGACTTGCACTTGTGACCTGCAACAAGTGACAGGCCGTGTCCAACGTCTCTCGCGTGGCAATGCGCAGGGCGCCCAGTGACAAGGCGGTGCTGCGGGAGCTCCACACGCTGCGCCAGCTTCTCAAGGAGGAGCGTGCCGCCTCCGGAAAGCTCTTCAAGGGCGCGTTCGGCGCGCCGCCGGCGCCCAAGCCCGGCGGCGGCTTGCCTGCGACCCTTGGTGGGGAGCGGGCGAGTGGCGGCGGGCTCGTGCCGAGCGGCGGGCAGCGGGGCGGCGGCGGGGCGGCTTGGTTGCTGGCGGCGCTGTGGGCGGCGCTGGCATGGTTGCTGGGGGGTGTGCAGCGGCTGGTGTTGCCGCAGAAGCGAACTGCGTCACGTGGCGGGTGAAGCGGGAGCTATCATGACTGGAACGGCATTTCGTTTGACCGCGGTTGGACAGCTGCTGAAACATGCAGGTGGCCAAGCCTGCCCTGGCTCCCCAATGCATTTAGTGAAGCAACAGAAGCGGGTAAATGCCACTTCTGCAGGTCTCATTGAGTGCACCTGCGTGATTGTGGATGCTGCAGACCAAAACCGTCGACGAGTTGCTGCAGGGGTGTGCCGCTGCACAGGCAATTGCACTACATGAATGCGCTGTACAAAGTGGTGCAAGATCACCGCAGTTCCGTCCTCGCTTTGATACTGGTGCCGTGACATCGATGATCATGTGATCTAGCATCTCATCCTCCTTGAGAACTCATATCCGCTTTTGGCACACTGCTATTGATACCCTGGAATCACTGCGAAAATTCTAGCATGCCCCTTGTTGCCTCCTTTTGGTAGCACCAAAGCGAAGCGGCCGTGGCGGTGGCGCTCCCGGCCTGCACGTCTGCTCTGCCGTGGCGGGCCTTGCCTGCGATGGCTCATCGAGCCCCCCCCTTTGCTTTCAATCGAAAATCCTGTCCTATAAATTCTGTCTGGGCAGTGTCTGACAGTTAGGAACGAGCTTCCCTGGCCACCACGCGAGCAGCTGCACTGGCAACCACCGCTGCCGCTGCCGCCGCTGCCGCAGCAGCAGCAACAGCAGCAGCAGCAGCAGCAGCAGCAGCAGCAGCAGCAGCAGCAGCAGCAGCAGCAGAAGCGGAAGCACAACCAGCAGCATAATCAGCAGCACAAGCAGCAGCAGCAGCAGCAGCAGCAGCGGCAGCAGCAGCACCAGCAGCAGTAGCAGCACCAGCAGCAGCACCACCAGCAGCAGCACCACCAGCAGCGGCAGCCTGCCATGTCCTGGGACGAGGCGCTCTTGCGGCGCCTCTTCGTTGGCCACTTCCACCTGCTACACGCGCCTGGCGCCGAGGAGTTGGAGCGGTGCTGGCGCTCCCAGCTGGGGTATGGCCGCGTCGACGGGGAGCGCTACCCGTCGCACGTGCGTGGCAGCTGCCTGGCCATCTGTCACTCCCTTAACAGCCGCTTTTATCCACACCACCCAGAGGAGGTCGATGATGCGACCCAGCGTCGCAGCGTGAAGTTTGAATTTGTTGAGAGAGCCCGCCTGCTGGGGCGCCTCGCCGCGGGCCCGCACGGCTTTGCCGCGCTGCGGCCGGGCGGCGGCGCGGCGGCGCCGGAGCTGCAGCAGCTGCTGGCGTTCACGCTGCAGCCGGCGCTGGACAATCTGGCCAACTGCTACGCTGACCTGGACTTTCGGACTTGGGACGAGCGGCATGGCAGCGTGGTGCCGCAACTTGCGGCGCGGCTGTCGCCGCCGCTGCTAACGTGCCTTTTGGCTGACGTAGCGGTCGGACTTCTGTGCCCGGGGTGCGCGGCGGCGCGCGTGGGCGCCGCTCGGGGTGTTGCTGCCCCACGCCGTGCAGCTTGCTGACAGGTGCCGTGTGTGGCGAGTCGCCCAAACATGTCGTTTGCGTGACACGAAAAAATGATGGGTGTCACACCGTCACGGGAAGGCACGCCCATCAGCAGGCGGCCTCCTTGCACGACCGTCACGAAGATGCCTGCACTGACAACGAACTCCGCACTCTCTCAACCACACGTGCGCCCCCACAGGCAGCCCCCGCCCCCCGACACACCCGAGCACGCCGCCGCCCTGCACACGCTGCTGGGCCTGGCGTTCCACTCGGCGCTGCGCGAGGCGCGGGGCACGGCCGCCAGCGATCGCATGACGATGCCGCAGGACGACGGCTTCATGGCCGCGCCCGGCCTGCGGCGCGCCGCCAAGCTGCTGCTGGCGCCGCCGGCCCTGGACGTGTTCAAGGAGCTGCTGACCTGCATCACCGATTCTGCGGAGGAGGAAGGCTCCCGCTGGCACCTGGGGCACGCCCTGTGGCGCGGCGCGGCCGCCATGGCGGGAGAGCACGGGGATCACCAAGGCGCCCTGGCCGCCGCCGCCGCGGCGCCCGAGTTCCGGCGCGCCGCGGCACGGGAGGCGCGGCGGCTGGCGGCGCGCTGCGCGCTGCAGGCGCAGGCGACGGGCGGCGCGGGCAGCGAGGGGGGCGGCGCCGCGGCGGTGGCGGCGGCGTGCGGTGCCACAAACGGCGGCGACGAGGGCCATGGGCCGGAGGGGAGCGGCAGCAGCAGTGCAGGGGCCGGCCCCGCTGCCTCTGCGGCCAGCGCAGCGGCCGAGGGCTGCGCCCTGCGTTCGGTGCTGGTGCTGGCTCGAGCGCAGGCGGCGGTGCTTGACCACCTGCTGGTCGCGCGCAGCGCGCTCGAGCTGGCGCCCGCGCAGGCGGCGGCGCTGCTGCACACGCTCGACTGCTTGGAGGCGTGCGTGGTCGCGCGTGTCACAGCAGCATGCGCGGAGACATCAATAGGGGCGGCAGACAAGGGGGACGGGCCGCGGCCTCCCGATTGGCCGCAGCGGGAGCAGCGGCAGGACAGCATCATCGACGGCAGCAGCGGCCGTGGTAGGCAGCGGTCTGGCGGTGGCAAGCGCACCGGATCGCCAACTTCTGGGCCTGTGCGGCATATGGATCAGCTGCTGGACACCACGGTGGGTGGGTGGGTGAGGGGCTCTAGTATCGAGGCCAGTGGGGTGGCTCCCTGAGGGTGCCTGCAGCCAGCAGTCGCATGCCACTCGGGTGTGGCTCCCTCTGCCGGCACTCCTGCACCTCCCAAGCCGCAGGGCGTTTGACTGCACGCATACGCACACACACACACACACACA